ATTATACTTCAATTATTTGTTAAGTATGATTGCTTTATTGAAAGTTCTGTCTTCAATTAAAGAAAGCAAGGCTATCTGTATTTCTTGTTGTGCTTGGTCATTTTTAATGTTCGATTCGCTCCTGCATGGTTCATTTTAATAGGTCGAGATTGTGTGATTAGGCTTGTTATGTGCTATCATGAGTTTAGTTCATTCTGAAACTTAAGTATGGTAGGACAGATTTTTAAGAGTGTAGAAACCTCTCCCTAGTAGACACGTTTTAAAATTTGAGGGAAAGCCCAAAGAGGACAATATCTGCTAGCGGTGGGCTTGGGCCGTTACAACTAAGAAAGCTTAAAAGAAAGTGAATAGGTTTGATATTACCCTCTTGTAGCCAGATATTTAAGCTGAACTCAGATAGAACTTCTTACAAAATATGCATGACTTTAAAACCGTTGTAGTATTCTGAGATGAGTATAATTTTCTCTTCCACTTTGTGAGTGCTTGACAGCCAGCTACATTTATATTTCCAAAGGCTTTTGTGATTGTAATTTGTTGACTCGTTGATCACGAAATCTGATAGCAAATTCATCTAATCGTTTAAATTTTGATTTTTTAGGAGCATGTCAAAACCGTGCCAGTAACTCAGAAATCGCTACTCGTTTCTCCAGCAAGCTGCTGTCGAATCCACGTGTTCGGCGTTACAGGAATATTTTGAAGATGCCAGCTATGATTTTGGACAAAAATGAGAAGACGGCTTTAAGGTTCGTCTCCAATAACGGGTTGGTTGAAGATCCATGTGCTGTTGAGAAGGAAAGGAGCATGATAAACCCTTGGAGTTTAGCAGAGAGAGAGTTATTCTGGGAGAAGCTATCTTTGTTTGGAAAGGATTTTAGAAAAATTTCTTCATTTCTCAGCCACAAAACCACTGCTGATTGTATCCAGTTTTATTACAAAAATCACAAGTCTGATAGTTTTAAGAAGAGAAAAAATTTGGATTTGGGCAAGCAAATGAAATCTTCTACCATGACATACATGTTAACATCAGGGAAGAAATGGAATCCCGGCGTAAATGCCACGTCCCTCGACATTTTGGGTGTTGCTTCAGTAATGGCAGCACAGGAAGACAGCAATATCGAAACTCAGCTGACATGTGCTCGCCGTTTTGATGAACTTCAATCCGAAAAAGAAACGGTTGCTGCTGATGTTCTTGTTGGTATATGTGGTTCAATTTCTTCGGAACCGATGAGTGCTTGCATTACAAGTGCTATCCATCCCGGTGAGGACTACAGGGAGCCGAAATGCCATAAAGTGGATTCTGCAACGAAACTGCCTTCGACGTCGGATGCTATGCAGAGAACAGATAATGAACCTTGTTCGGATGATAGTTCTGGAGATGTAGATTCTTCGAGTTGGACAGATGAGGAGAAGTCTATCTTCATGCAGGCTGTGTCGTCCTATGGTAAAGATTTTGATATGATCTCAAGATGTGTCGGGTCGAAGTCTAGGGACCAGTGCAAGGTTTTTTTCAGCAAAGCTCGGAAATGCCTTGGATTGGATTTGATCCGTACTTCTGAAGATGGAGGAACGCCAAGGAGCGGTAACGACGCCAGTGGGAGCGGGACTGACTCGGAAGCCCACTGTGTCGTGGAAGGAGCTCGTAGTAGCGAGGAAATTGGCTCCAAGTCAGTGGATGGTTTTTGTGAATTTGGGGAAAGTACAGCATTTCAACAGTCAGACGCTAAACATGCTGAGGCTGTCGGAAACTTGTTTTCCGAGACATCAAAGGAAGTAGAGGAGGACGCGCCAAATCTTGATTCTCATTCTGCCTGTAATCTCGCAAATGCTCGTGCTTCTCCAAGCCAGCCCGAGCCAGTGCATGACCACAAAATCGAAGGTTCTTCTGAAAATACAGAAGCTGGAAGCAACCGCTGTAACGAACCCAACGTTCTGAGGTCGGAATCCATGTCTACAGTCGATGAAAATTCAACAGCTATCAGCGAGAGCGGAGCTATTACGAAGCTCGCATTTGGAGAAGAAAAAGGAAGTAACAGTAATTTACATGCTCAAAGTATATTACAGTGCTTGGTTCAGGATTCATCTGGAATTGATCCACAAATTTCACATCCCAACTTTCTTAAAGTGGATTCTGTAGAGGAGTCTTGTAAACTGGAGGTTAGGGATGTGCCCAAAAGGCCGATGAACAGAGATGGCTATGCTGAGCGTGAAAATCATTTGTCACGCCACGTTGGATCGTCCGAGTTTCCATGCAGCCATCCTTTCAATAAGCCAATCATCAAGGACATGAATCGAACGATCAATCACACATCTTTTCCTGTCGTTCGAGCGTTATCAAAACCAGACATCAATTGTAACAGTACATATGTTGCTGAGGAACAGGAATGCCGTCTTCAAAACTGTAACAGTTCCAAGCCGTGCCACCGGTCTGCTGAGCTTCCTTTTTTGCCTCCGAATGTGGAATTCGGTCATGATCATCGGAAGAACACTTCATGCAGTGGCAGTGCTTCAGATTCCGATGTTCCATGCAGGAAAGGCGATGTGAAACTGTTCGGTCAGATACTAAGTCATGCCCCTTCCCAGCAGAATTCGAGTTCTGGTTCTAACGAGTGTGGTACGAAAAAGGGACTTCATAAGTCGAGCAGTACGTACGATATGGGAGAGAATGCTCCGTCGAGGAGTTACGGGTTTTGGGATGGAAACGGATTACAGACCGGGCTATCCGCAATGCCTGATTCTATCGTTTTACAGGCTAAGTATCCTGCTGCATTCAGTGGCTACACCGCAACATCTGTTAAAACCGAGCAGCAGCCATTGCTGACACTCACAAAAAATGATGATCAAGCATACAAAACTGGAGATGGTGTTAAGAAACGACCTTACCCAGTTGATATATTTTCCGAGATACACAGAAGAAATGGGTTCGATTCTCTTTCGCTGGCGAGTTTACAGCAGCAGGGAAGAATGCTTGTTGGAATGAACGTCGTCGGGAGGGGAGGGATTCTCGTGGGGAATTCTTGTACTGGCATTTCCGATCCGGTGGCAGCCATTAAAATGCATTATGCAAAGGCCGATCAGTACGTCGACGGGAGTTGGAGAGGAGGGAATGGGGATATAGGCAGCAGCAGGTAGTAGAAGCGCACCAGGGCCCGTGCCATGGCCGGGGACGACCTCACCTCTGTATGATAATTAGCCTGTTTGAAGTGAAAAAAATGGTAGGGTGTAGGATGATAATCTGAGCCAATGGGTTCTTAAGAATCCATCTTTTTGGTTAAGAAAAGGAAGAGATTTTAGGGTATTGTAATATTGTAGCTGCAGCTTTGAAGTATTTGATTGCAACACAGAAATAATCTTCAAACAAAAAAAAAAAAAAAAAAAAAAAA